ACACTATCTACAGATTTGCATCGAAGCGTTTCTTATGATAGTGATTATAATCACTGTCAGATATCATCTATACTTGTCCCAACTATGTTACGACCTCACTGTGTTACCGATTTTTTAATGTGAAAATGGTGTACAAATTAGCTTAAATGTAAAATAATAATTTAATTTTTTTTCCTGAAAATAAAGAAATTGTTTGATATTATTTTTTAATCGTTGATTTTCGATATAAATCATGTATAGAAACCCGTTTCTTTACTTCCTAAGAGTTAGGAAACGGGTTTCTATTGTTCTCATTGTTCGTAACAATTGATCTGTTTCCTTACTTTTTGAACACTCAGTATATTGTATGATATGATACAGAGAATAGAATGTGTAATATAAAATTGGTAAATGATATTATATACATTTATATAATCAAGACTTTTTTATGGGGACACATTCAAGAAAATACCCCTCTCCTGATTACAAAAGTTGTACCTCAAACGTGTTATAATTTTTGCTCAGAAGGAATATATGTCCATCATCTATCCTTAATTATGTTCCTGTATACTTTCGTATATGATCATTGACCTAATAAATGTCGGGGTGCATGCGACGAACTGCAAAGTATGAACAATAATAATTAATCATTGATGAATTTAGGAAACAAAATGGATTGTTTTCTTTTTAATTGGAAAATTAAATCTCATCGTGTTAATAATATTTGTATACAATTTATTTATTTTAATAAGATACCATAGTATTCGATAATTACAGAAGCGGTGCTATATTTGCTGGTGATCAAATTGTTGCTGTCAATGATATTAGGGTAGCGGGTACTAGAATGGCAGCCAGTGATGTTTATAAGCTTTTGAGAGCGTGTGGTGGAGCACGTGCAATGCTTAGGTTGGAAATAATACCAGTATTCAATTCAGAAATGATTCATGCTGACTGTGAGTAATCTCGTGATTATAAATAAATGTGATCAAAGTTGACGTTTCCATTTGTTGATCTTGTTAGACTGTTCATCGTATGACTTGCGTCCGTACAATATGTGTTCCATGTATGAAGACCCGTCGGTATGGGAACCTACAGATTCACGTAAGGCTCATACAATTACACCTACAGAGCACAGTGACAACCGATACCAATAATCCATTACATAATTTGTGATGTTCACTTTTTTTTTAGATAATGTGGTGCGAACAGACCACACGATATTAACTCTAGTGGCAGACGAAAACTGTAGATTCGGTGTGGAGGTACGTTCGAACAATTCTGTACTCGTTGTGTGCTCTATCGAACCCGGAGGACCTGCTGATCGGTATATATTGTTTATTTTTTTATTTTGGTTTCATAAAAATACGTAATAGTTTATAGAAATCATGTTATGTAAAATGCATTTTGCTTTTGCCACAGCACCGGATGTCTGCAAGTGGGTGATCGAATTTTATCAGTGAACGGTTGCAAGAGTGCCAGTTTTGTAGCATTATCTCAACAACCTCTACACGAATTTTTGGGACCCGAAGTAAAAAACGCTTGTGTCAAAATAGAGTTTGACATTATTGACTTTGTCGTGCCCACATCTGGCGAATTTACCATAAAACTGATTAAGAGTGACAATAGGAACTTAGGAATCACCATTACAGGTTAGTTTATTGTTCAGGTATTTGGTGGAATACGTTTA